TTTTTAAAATCTGTCATTTTTCCTTAATATATAAAAAAATAAAAACCCCAGTGGTGATTAAATACCACCAAAAGAAAGCTCTATCTGTCCCCAAAAAAGGGTATAAAATTCATTTCAGTACAGCGTTGCATGACGGAATAAATGTCAGTCAAAGTACCGGAGTGCTGAATACTGAAAAATGGCCTGGATGGGAAGTGGGTTTAACACCGCGGATGTCAACTGGTTAAAGTAAATTAATCATTTATCCATATTTTTTTCCAGTTTGAGATCAATTATTCCTGCTATTATAACTGTAACATCTCTGAAATTATTGTTTAAAACTAAAGTTAAAAGGAGTACAAAAATGCATTAGGTATCATTTTGTTTGAACAAAAATCTGAAATGAGCCAGAAGACAAATGAGAAAAACAAAGCAACAGCACTATCTGGTGGTCAGTTTGCAAACTGCACTCACCACCCTCAGTAACTGTTATCCAAAGTATGTAAACAGAACATTTATTGTGCGTTATATAGTTATTATTAATTCAAAGCATCTTGGAACTACCTGAAGTATCGTTTAACCCACCAAATAACTTACTAGAGCTCTCCCAATATTAGTTGTATATATATTTACACGGCTAGGCAATTTAAAGAAGATATGTCCCTACTGGTGTCAACCACAAAAAAAAAAACAATAAATAAAACCACACAGTCTAATTTTTATTGATATGAATACCATTTGAACCCAAAATAGCAAGCTTATAAGTCTCTCAATCTAGTTGATTTTTTTTTTCATTTTGTAAAATTTACCCTCTTTAATTTGTGCTTTGTAATATAAAGTTGGCATATGTATACTGTTATACTGTAGTCCACACACAAAAAAAATAAATAATGTAAAGGCTACCTGTGTGGTAGCAAATTAAGAAGTGAAGTGCCACTGACAATAGGTGCTTGCACACTGCTTCAGATTCCCTTTAGAGCACCACTGAATGCTTTAAACCCGCAGTAGGTGTGCAGGGCAGTCCCAAATCTTTTACCCTTATTAATAAAAGGGGAAGAGAGCTTTCCACAAATTACTCCTAGCCACACAGGGTAGAGAGATGGGAGAGGAGGATGTACATACTTACCACATCTAAAAATGGGGTCGGAAGCAGCTTGCAGGGACCTGGAGGTGCTTACCAACTACTGAAAACAGCAGTTGCTTTCCACGATTCTTTTGAAAACTGACACGGGTGTTAGAAAATGAAATTGCAATGTGATTTTATAACAATACCAAGTTGCATATATTGCTCAATCCATGTCTCAAATGCTTCCTTCACATCCACTCTTAAGTGACTTAATTCTCATTGTCCATTTGGAAGCTTGCAAAGGGCTATTATCAGATGATCTATGGACCACGGTACGTAGGCTCCCTCCTCGATGAAACAGACGAGTCTTTTAAAACTAGACCAATATCCAAAGAATTGGATTTCTGTTGTTTGTATCAGAAAGTTATGGCACAAATTTGCTATATAACCTCTTGTGCAGAAAGCTGATAATCTGAAATGAGATCTGTAATCTTCCTCTTGTCAAAATGAAGTCAGTCTTTTTCACATGTAGCTTCACGAAATAACGACACGCTAAGCAAGGTATCTGCAAGTAGACAGGAAAGTAATTACATGTAGATCTGACTTGTCAAAAAAAGGAAAATGTTCAACAAGTAGCAGGGAACAATAGGTCAATTAAAACGACTGTACTGGCAACTTGATGTAGAAAAAAAAAAAAATGATCTACATACAGCTGATGTATAAACGTTCCACCCATCGTATAAGATGGGTGAATGCTGTACAGCATTCCTGCCAGAAGATGGAGCTGAGAAGCATAGGAATTTGCTCCTCGGGTCCATCTTGTGGCAGGAATGATATGCGAATGGCATTCGCCAAGCTATAGGCTGCAAAGACTGTTTAGATGTCAGCCCCTAAACAATATCCTAAGGACTATAGAAGCTGAACTCCAGCCAAACAGCTAATTACACAAGTGAAATACATAGCGAGACCTGTTTTACCTACCAAATGATTTGTGTTTCTATCCATCCAGACCTGAGATTTACACAACTTGACACCAGGCAGAACGTCTGACTTTTCTCTGCTAAAGTTCAGTAACAATAACAGGTTTTGTCGTGCTCTCTCCCACCCCCTTTGCTCTCTCTTCCTATCAACAAGTCAATTTTTAGCACATGATCCCTGATGCACAAGCAACTGACTACTTGTGCTGCTTCTCCCTCCCTCTCTCTGAGTTTTGCTCTACAAGGACTGCACAAGGCAAGGTTTAGAACTCCTGACAAGTTTAAAATGCCATCTGTGTCCCTATAAATGCTAATTATCTACTCTTCCTATTCTATCTTCTATCAGCTGGACAGAAATAGAGGGGAAATCTCCCCGACAGAGATTGTAAACCTTCTTTACTCAACTAGCAAATGTGTTTTTGCTCCCCAGTAGGTGATTTCCCTCACTCGCATCTGTTTGTCTGACATCCATCAAACAGACAAAAAGTGTGAAGTTTTCCTCAGTTTTTCTTCCAATACCTGCCAATCAGAAGTGAGGAATAATCTCCCATACAGGGACACAGACTGCAAAAAAAAAATAAAAATTGGTATAGGCTGGTGCACATAAAAAGATTCTAAACTGTGCTGCTACAAGCAGTCTATTTTGTTATTGTTTATCAAGCATTTGTGTCTTGGTACATCCCTACATTTTACCCCCACTGTTTTGTGTATTTTGGTGCAGCCCCTATTTACAATTTCCTTAAGACGGGTCTACCCATGTGTTACAAGGCTTTAGAAAGAAATGACAAAGAATCACATCCTGTGTGTTGCCAAGCCTAAATAAACAACGATGGATTCTACTCTGAGTCTTCTTGATGAGTTGGACCCTGCCAGTGAATACCCTCAGCTCTGTAGGTTGTCATATTGTCTGGATATAGTGAATCTCAGGAGGTATATCTGTAAAAAATAAGTGAAGGCAACTGGACTTGCTGTATTTTTCTTGAAGACGTTTCACTGGTCATCCAACCAGCTTTCTCAATTCAAGTACATCAAGCCCAGTTGCCTTGACTTATTTTTTACAGATATACCATGACCTGGATGAATGAGAACCTTTACAGACTCAGGAGGTATGTGCAAATACATAAATTGGTGGTTAAGACAGAACAAGCTTTCCACACTACCCAAAACTTAAATAAATGTTTTTAGGTCTTTGGGGCAGTGAGTAAAAAGGCTTCTGGGACAGGAGTCTTTCTCAATTATAGATTACTTTTTGGATGAAAATATTTAAAAAAATGACCTCCACCAGGCTGGCAGTGCAGACAAAGATCAGTTATCAGAATGACACAGCATGAAAAGATGAGACAAGTACAAAAAAAAAGAAATCTTTTCAAGGTGAGAAATTTGCGCTATACCTTGTATTAACTGCTGCTTTGCTGCCGATTTGTCTTCCAGCTCTTTCCAAGCACGAGGCAAACCCTGTATTTCTGATAAGCGATCGTGATCTACCTGTAACAGAAGCTTCCGCTTGATACATCTGACTTTTGGCTAAGGACATTGTCTGTAAAATGCAGGGTTTGGGATTAGCAATTACAACATCTTAACAATGGCAAAATAAACACACCTAACATTAGAATACCAAAAAATGTTTTTGCTTTTCTATTATAAGCACGTCAAGTTACAGTCTACTTTGGAAAATAGCTGAATAATGAACCAATTGCACACAGATGTCTGTGTAAGAGAAATCCTGGGCACATTCAAGTTTCCATGCATGCACAGAAACCTGTGCTGCCTCGCACATACGTGCGCACTCATGCGCAATGGAAAGTACCATACGCTAGCTGGACAACGCACAGGAAGTGACATTGCACGAGTGACCTTGGATGAGCATATATAAACGGGCATGTTTGGCTCTCTCATTGGTGAATGATCTTCAGCTAGTCCTGTTCCCTGTAGTCCTGCTTGTTTCCTGTTCCTGACCCGGCTTGCTACTGACTCCTCTTCTCGCCCACTGTCTGCCTTCTGTGACCCCGGCCTGTTTTACGGATTTGCTTCCTTTTAGCCTGCCTTGTATCTGCTCTGATCTCCTACTTCTGACCTTAACTTGTGACCGACACTGCTCCCACCTTCCGATTTGGTACCACGCTGCCTGACTGGCTCTGACCTTGGCTTGTGACCCCCACCTATCTCCTGTCCGCTGTTCCTGCTTGATTCCACTCTGCATCAGGACTGTTTCTGTTTTGACTCCAGTGCTGCTCTGTGCCCACACATTCCCTGTTACCACCTTCAGGTGTCTTGGATGAGAGACACAAGGGGTGCCTCCTCCTCCATTCGGTCTCCATCAAGGTATGTGACAGTACATGACAGTCTGGTTAAGAGTGGTTGGACTTTTCTTCTCTTTAGTTAGAAACACTATAGCCAATATACAATGAACTGTCTTTAAGGCAAGATTGTCTCTCTGAAGACTGTCCATGAACTTGCCATCCTTGTTAATATCTTTAATCAGTTAACCTTTTGTGCTTTTTTAGGTTTTCCCCACCCAATACATTTGTTTATCTAGGCTCTGGATTTGCAGAAAATATACAGCAGTTGTTAATCCTCTCCACCCTTCTCCTACCTGTTTTTGCTGCAGAGCGTGCTGGATTTGCACTCACCTAGAACAAGGTAGGGATAGCCTGAAATCATCTAATTACAAAAATGTCCACAAATACATTGAGTATAACTACTTGTTGACTAGTTCTTCAGGCTTGCATCATGTTTAGAACATGTTTACACTTTGTGACCAATCACCCAACCCAACACAATCAAGGTTTTAGGTACATCTATGCGACCCAGACTGCCCCATTCTTTAGGTAATAATGAATGCTAACACACTCTTCATTTGGGAAACACACATTGCGTGGAAACTATAAAGAGGCTTTAGATTTCAAATCTCATATATTCCAATGCAATATTACAGTTCAAATGTTTCAACAAAATATGAAGCAGAAGTAAAGCGATCGACAAAAAAGACGAAAAAAAAAGGGCCCCATTGAAGCTTTGAGCCAAAGTGTGCTAGTATGCACAACATATTAGCACATTGTGGCAGACATGCCAAACTGATCTCTTGCAGTGATATACTTCCATCTTCTCCCCGGTCTTCAAGTGTTCGACCGTGGGAATTACTTAATCTCGGCATGCCGGGTCTTTGCCCTGAGCTGGACATGAGCAGCTCAGTGTACAGGGGGAAAAAAAATACTAATAGCTAGAAAGAAGCATTTATGGCAGAAGAGACTTACACAGCCTCTTCTGCCATAGAAAGCCAGTTAATCTGCAATTTATTTTTAAACTTCTATTTTATTGTGTATCCCCAGGGGCATTTCCACCATAGCATTAATTTCATATGTCCAGCTGGGAGACAGCCTTGCAGCTATCTTAGAATTTACTGTAGATATATCTACCAACGCACCTGGGAATGATTTGGAAATTGTCTGAAAGAGCTGGATATTACAACATAGTTAGACTAAAACCAGGAACAACAAGTGAAAATAGCAATAATACTTACATCAGGGGATACTCATAATTAAGCACCCAGAAGACATTTCAAAATCCCAGTAACATGTGTTAGCATTTCAAATAACTGTGAAGGCTCTAAAAGTGTAAGTGTGCCCACAGAAATTACATGAGCTTTGGCTGTTCCAGCTGGTTACAGACTGGGAAACAATTGTATATCTATAAGCACTTCCCAGTTTCTCCAAGCATCCCTTGGCTGATCCATCTCCGAGTAGGAATTGATTGACCTGCTAATGGTTTCTCAGGCAATAGCTAATATTTTCCTTTGAGACAAGTCAGTACCAAAGAGGCCTTTCTGCACCCTACTCTCCCTAGCCCTAACACTTCCAGAATTATACAAACATCTTGCAGCAGGTGTATTGTCCAACCAAAGGTGATATTTGGGTATAAACTGTGACAATGAAAACCACAAGCATAAAATTATGGTTGGACATGTAGCCACAATTACACTCTCCGAAATATCTTTACATACCCAAGGACATTCTGATCAGAGGTGTTTATGGCTATGGAGGCAGGAGACCAAAATTACATAATTGTGCCAGATTATCTATTGTCTCAACTCAAACTAGCAGAACAACTCTTCTCTGCAGAAGGGTTGAGCAAAAGATGTCTGGAAAGGAGAGGGACTATGCACAGACCAACTATATCACAATCATCTTATGTATGTGGGCCCCTTTAACCCCTTTGTGACGGGAGACGTACACTGTACGTCCCGCCACAAAGGGACCAAATGACTCGTCACGTACACTGTACGTGACGAGTTATTTGCTGCACTAGAAGGCTGGTAACCGCTGAGAATCAGCGGTTATCATTCATTAATGGATGCCTACGTTTAGAGGCATCCATTAATGAAAGGGTTAACCTTTTTCAGACACCCGATACCTGAAGATCAGGTGTCCGAGAGTCACAGCAGAGCCGGCAAACATGCCTGCTTTTGCCGGCATTCTGACAGCTCGTATAGATCGAGAGATATCTCTCTCAAGCTATATTGGCTTTTTTTTTCTTTCACTTTCAGGGATACATAATGTATCTATTCCTGAAAGAAGAATGTTTCAGTTTTCTGATGGTTGTTGTAACAATCAGAAAACTAGTGACAGCTGAATCCTGAACTGCTGCAGGATCAGTGTCACTAACTTATTATCGGCTGTTCTGAAGTTTGAAGCAGCCTGATAATAACCAAAAATGTATTAATTAATCAAGCAGTAATAGTGAGATTAATTCACAATGACTGCTTCATATAATTAAAGAAATAAAATAACATTTTTAAGTTTTAAAAAAAAGTGAAAAGTGTAAAAAATAAGGGACAAATAAATGAATGTATTTATTGCATTTTTTTTTTTTTAGCTGTGCTGGTTTTGTAAAAAAAAAAATACTACAAATCAAAACTGGGAAAAAAGTGTTTTTAACGTCCTAAGTGAGGCATTAGACACACATATGTGATATAAATATATAGCCCTATCTGTCCTCTAAAAAACAATATATAATATGTGTGGGTGCACTTTGTAAGAAAGTATATTACTGCTGTGCAAAAATTTCAAAAGTGTGTCAGTCATTTACGAACAGAAACTAAAAACAAGCTCAGTCATGAAGGGGTTAAACCAAGGGCTGGCTCCAGTACTGCTAATTAACATTACACAGACAGACATGCACAGTTGCAAAGGATACTGGTTTCTATAATACTTCTCTATGTCTTGCAGCCACTCTAGCATGTCAGCTACAGAAGGACTAAGAGATGAACGCTTGAGTGAAGCATCAAGTCCAAGTTTCTCCATATTCATTTCATAAATATAAAGGAGAGATGCCACCTGGTGACTTACAGTGTCCCTCACCTTTTGAAGTGTACACCTGTAAATTAAGTGATACAGAGTAAAATTATAGTCATACCATTTGATAATGTCATAGTATTAATAAATATTCCTTTAATTTTCAATGTTTAAACATAACTACACATATTCCGCCATTACAGTTATTGTATAGGTTACCCTACAGTTATCATATATGTTAGGAGAATATCGACTCAATTAATTGTTATTAGAGTAGGAAATCTCACCAGTGCCATCAGAGACTTGACACAGGTCGGCTAGAACTATGAGGTGAGCGGAAATCACTCATCTCATAGTTCTCCTTTAAGATCTTAAAAAGGAGAACTATGGGGTTAGGGCTTTTCCCCATAGTTCTCCTAAGGGTAACGGGAGGACACAAACTAGCGCCCTCCCGTCACCCAAAGCTCAGTATACCGCGAGCTACAGCTCCCGGTATACTGAGACGCCGCAGCCGGAACGGACCCGACAATTATGTCTGGATCCACCCTGCTGCGTGACAGCTGGCTCTGCCTATCTAGAGGCAGAGCCAGCTGTACCTGCCCTCTCCCCCGTCCGTTCCGCCAGTCAGCGCTGGAGGATCGGACAGGGGAGGGGGGAATCCAGTCCCTCTCCTGTCACAGCTGTCTGCCGAAACAGGATCGAGAAGTGAGCGAGCGCCGGTATGTGTTCGCTCACTTCCCGATCTACTGAGCCGACCTGTGACAGTTTCATTGTCACAGGTCGGCTCAGATTATGAGGCTGAGTGAAAATCACTCACCTCATAATTCTCCTTTAACAAATACGGCTAGAAAAAGACCCAAACTAGAGATATTCCAACTTACATCTTATCATTCAGCTTTTCTAAGGTAAGATCCATAGCAAGCTTAAGTTTAAAGAAAAGCCGATCTTGCAGATCACTAAATATGTTTAAAGGAGTCTTTTCAAAAGTAACTTTATTACAAGCCTTCAGCTGCTCTGCCAGGTTACTCAAGGTAACAACCATGGAATCACACTCCATTATGGCAAGTTTCCATTCTTCATGGTGCTTCTCTATAATGTCAAAGCATCGTCTGAGGGACTGCTGAACAGAAACCAAAGCTGCAGCCTCTGACATGCTGGGGAAAAAAGAAAAAGAAAGCCATTTACTACAACATATCTGCTTTAATACACAGCAACAGCGCAAGGTTAAAGAGTCAGTAAACAGAAGCATCATGTCCTAATCTATTGCATTTCAGTTGCTTTTTCCTTTAAGACCCTACTTGCCCTATGACACACCGATCAGTCATAACATTATGGCCACTACCCGCCTAATACGGACCTCCATGGATCAGACTTGTTTTTCCAGCACATTCCACAGATGCTTGATTGGTTTGAGATCTGGAGAATTTGAAGACCAAATCAACAACATCTATAACTCATTGTTGTGTTCCCCAAACTCACAATTGGACCATTTTTGCAGTGTGGCAGGGCACATTATCCTGCTAAAAGAGGCCAAAGCCATCAGGAAATACTGTTTCATGTAATTGGTGAGCAACAATGTTAATGTAGGTGGTAAGTGTCAAATTAACATTCACATGAATTGCAGTACCCAAGGTTTACAAGCAGAACATTGCCCAAAACATCACATTGCCTCAGCTGGCTCGCTTTCTTCCCATAGTGCATCCTGGTGCCATCTCTTCCCAAGGTAAGTGACACACGCATCCGGGCATCCACATGATGTCAAAGAAAATGTGATTCATCAGACCAGGCCACCTTCTTCCATTGCTCCGTGGCCATTGTACGTGCTTTTGGGGGTGGATGTGGGTCAGCATGGACACCATGACCGGTCAGCTACGCAGTCCCATACACAACAAACTGCAATACAGTCTGTGTCCACACACCTTTCTATCAGAACCAGCATTTGCTTTTTCAGCAATCTGAGCTACTGTAGCTCTTCTATTGGAATTGACTACATGGGCCAGCATTCGCTCCCAATGTGCATCAATAAACCTTTGCCACCCATGACCCTTTTGCCGGTTCACCAGTTTTCCTTCCTTGGGCCACTTTTGGTAGGTCTTGACCACTGCAGACCAGGGAATATCCCACAAGAGCTGCAGTTTTGGAGTTGCTCTGACCCAGTCATCTATCCATCACAATTGCCAAAGTCGCTCAAATCCTTACACTTGCCCAATTTTCTCCTTCCCACACATCAACTTCAGGGATAAAATGTTTACTTGCTGCCTAATACAGCCCACCCACTTCCAGGTGCCATTGTAAAAAGATAATCAATGTTATTCACCTCACCGCTCAGTGGTCATAATGTTATGGCTGATCAAGATATATCCCCACAGGGCATTGGGCACTTTTTGGCCGGGTTGTCTTAAAAGGAGAACTATGGGGTTAGTGTTTTTCCCCATAGTTCTCATAAAGGGTAACGGGAGGACACAAACTAGCGTCCTCTTGTTACCCTAAGCTCAGTATACCGCAAGCTGCAGCTCGCGGTATACTGAGACGCCACAGCTGAAACGGAGAGAATGTGTAATTCTAAGCAGATGTTAGGTAAAAGACAAACAATTAAAGCCCAACTCCAGCTAACATAATTTAATTGGTGATATAAATAAATAGAAAAGACACAGGTCCATCAAGTTCAACAACCTATGTATCTGAGTTTTATGTGTTTGGTCCAGTGGAAGGCAATAAACAACCCCCACAAGTAGGGATGCACCGATCCTGGCTTTTCGGCATCGAGTACAAGTACTGTTTTGGTTTTTTTGGTCCCCTGCCGATACCACAACTGGCATCCCGGGGTACCATTGGCCCGGCTTATCAGGAAGCTTCCTGATTACCTGGGAAGCCGGTGTTCTATCGCAAGAACTAGGAGGGGAATTTATCAAAACTGGAGCAGACAAAATCTGGAGCAGCTGTGCATGGCATCCAATCAGCTTCTATCTTTCATTTTCAAATCTTAACTGAACTGGAGAGAAACCGATTGGTTGCCCTGGGCAACTGCTCCAGATTTTGTCTGCTCCAGTTTTGATCAATTCCCACCCAAACATTTTGACACATATTAGCTATCACTTAGTGCCTGACCTCAGTGTGCAGGTGTGTGCTAAATTGCTGTGCTATAGCTCACCATAGGAATATGCATAAACTGGGCGGCAGCCTGGACTGGAGTACGGGGCAATATATTACACTAATATATTCCCCAGTACACAGATTCTGATGCAGATATAATAGAAAAACATTTACTGGAACTGGGGTAGGCCAATTTGCCTTTAATACCTTCCTATTCACGAACAAGTATAAAGAGAGAAGCTGATTGGTTGCCCTGGGCAACTGCTCCAGATTATGTCTGCTCCAGTTTTTATAAATTTCCCTCACTGGCTTCACGTTCTAAGGCAGCCTGGCTTCCTCACCAATCAGGAAGTCAGGCGACACGTCATGACACACGCCCCCTGGCTTCCTGATTAGCTAGGAAGCCGGCTTTACTTGTTGCTAGGCAACCTGGCTTCCTGACCAATCAGAAAGACGTGCAGCAGGTCATTATGTGCTATCCGGGTTCCTGCTTGGTCAGGAAACAGGCATCAAGTGAAGCCGGCTTCCTAGTCTATCAGGAAGCCGGGTCTTGACCTGCCGTCCGGATTCCTGATTGGCCGGGAAGCCAGCTCCATGCTCTCTCCGACCAAAAGTTCCTGTATCAGAGCATTTGGACGAGTAGGAGTAATTACCCAAATACTCTGTATCAGCACCGATAGTGGTATCGGTGCATCCCTACCCAAAGCAAAACTGTTGTGCTGATGCTATTGTTAGACAGTATTATATTTATAGAATTTTGCCCATAGTTACATTTAAATTGGACCTTCACCCATTAAAATAACTTTTTCTACTTTGACCAGTGTTCATTTTCAAACTAGTGTCACTGTACATAAAAAAAAGCAAGCACATGGTATCCTTTATTTCGTCAGTTATGATTCTGGTACAAAACATTGCAAAGTAACTTACAAATAAAATATATATTTTTTTGCCCATTTTGTTTATGTGACATGAAAAATGTGAACACATGCAACTGGGCTCCTTGTGCTCTGCATCATGTGCGGGAATCCCCCCCTGCACAGGCATGCTGCGGGTCTCCATCCTTGTGAAAATACATAGAAGAGAACAGCATCTTGCTTGCATATGCGCCTCTCAGTAAAACACCGCACGGGAGGCAGTAGGGGGTCCCTATGTCATTCTCACCTAGGCAAATAAAAAAAGCAGGAAGTGTTGCAGGCAGCAAAAAAATATGGTACTGAATGTCCCTAAAAATGATGAAGCGTTCTGCTATTGTGTAAATATTGTGTTGTTACTTTGCAATGCTTTGTACCAGAATCATAACTCACAAAATATAGAATGAAAAATGTGTTTATGTACAGTAACACTAGTTTGAAAGCTAGCACTGGTCAAAACAGAGTAAAGGGCATTTCTTTAAATGTATTATGTATTTCTGTCCATAGATTGCATCAAAAACCAAATATTGCTAGATATTATCACCAAAAGAATGCCTTCCCTTGCAACCAAACCAGTGGTAAGCAACCTACCTGTAATAAATAAATCTCAGTGCTCCAGCTGTGGTCACACTACAAATCCCATTATGATTCTTAGAGGCATGATGACAGTGGTTGTCAGTCATCCAATGCCTTGTGGGACTGTTTGTTCTGCAACAGCTGGAGTGTGGAGGTTGCCTACCCCTGATCTCAGTATTACTTATCTTGAAGAATAATGACAAAGTAATGGCCAAATGGATAGGTCCATAGGAGGGATGTAAACATTGATCTGGTCCATAAGGAATATACACGTGAGAGCCTGAAGTAAAAAAAAACATGGTTTTGAGCGGCGATCAGGTGAACAAATCCACCCATAAAACGTACAAATCAATTCCAGTTCTCCAACTCACATGCACTAAGACTCCCCATACACCGTACACAGCCACCACATAACTCCAACACGATGACAGCGTGCGTACGGAAGGGGGAGTTTAAAAAGAGTTCACGTGACACACTATCGCAACCCTCTGCGCGAATCACGTGATTTTCCGCAGTCCGTACGCGCATCCGGAAGTTGTTATCCTTCCAAAGGAAGTTTCAGCCCCCGGCATGCTTTGCCGCTTCCGGAGGACAAGCTGTCTGTGGAGTTCGTTTGGTGTCAGAGACCGCGACTAGGGGTCTAATTGGAGACGAAGGTGTCCCCGGGATTCTAAAACAGTTATGAAAGAGCTGAAGGAAGAGGAGAGGCACCGGAAGAGGAGGCCGCACAGCCCGGAGACTGTGTCGGTGAAGAAGGAGCGGATGAGCCCGCCTAGGCCTCACCGGGCTCGGCGGTGCTCCACTCCAGAGAGCAGCGGAGAAGAATCCCCCCAACCACAGCACCGGGGGAGGAGCAGGTGAGACTATCGGAGGAGACTAAGAGCTGAGCGGTTGTTGTGGACGTCACACCCGTTCTGCTTGTCTGTTGGGTAACCCCATCTCTGTCAAGTGTGAAGTTTGGCAGGTGCTTGGCAGTGTGATGAAAAACCGCCAATAAGGACCTTTCTAAGCAGTCATTTAAATAAATGTATACCCTGATATTTAGGCCTCCATGTATAAATCAGATGTATGGCTTTACTGCTACACATTTATGAAACACAGTGATTGCTTTAGAAAATATATTTGTTGTGGGACCTTAAACCCAGTTTGTATGTAGGCCCACCTGAACTACACCAGAAAATTCCATTTATATTACAATGTAAACAAAACATACCTATTCTTATTGTTATCAGTATTTTCTGAGTGTTTTTTTTTGTTTTTTTTTTTGTTTTTTTTTTTAATTCTTAACCTTATTTTTATATTTAGGTCACCAGCAAAAAAGAAAAAGACTTATGTCAAGAAAAGCAAGTCTCCAAGGAGGAGGAACAGAAGTGATAGTAGAAGTCCACCTCCTGTTCCTCCAGTAAAAGTAAAGCAGGTAAATTCCTCATGAAGGAACCTATATTAGTAGAAAGTCAAAAAACTGTTTCCTTCCCTAGTAGTGTTATCCTCACATGTACTAATACACTTGCCCTACTGGATTTGTGATGTGTTTTTGCAAAAGCAAATGTAGTTTTTTCCTTTCGTACAAATTCCTTCCGAATTGTGTGATAACTATAATGCTGAACTTTACAAAATATCTTGGGTTCATTTTTTTTTAATTATTATTATTTCCATTCTTGAATTTGTAGCAAAAACAAGATTAGAGCTGCAGCTAACGATTATTTTTAAAATCGATTAGTTAGCCGATTATTGAGTTCGATTAATCGTTTAATCGGATAAAAAATAAAATACCTTTTAAAAAATGGCTCCAGTGATGGGACTACTAGTTTGTATTGAGATTGTAGTCCATCACAGGAGCAAGCTTGGAGCGGTGGAAGTAAATAAGAAAAAAAAAAGTGTGGTGTGCAATATAGTGAAATGAAAAGTGTAAAATTATACAGCAATTAATGCAGAATGGCAACGGCTATAGAGGACTACAAATCCCAGCAATGGTATATTATACAGCGCAATACAGAATCCCACCAGCTACAGAGGAGTACAACAAATCCCAGCAATAATATATTATACAGCGAAATGCAGAATAACACCAGCTATATAGGAATACGACAAATGCCAGCAATACATTATAGCTGGTAGTATTCTGCATTGCGCTGTATAATGTACTTATATGTACTTATTGTCATACCCCCACACCTGCTCCTCCTTACTTCTTCTCCCCGCGTCCCTGTGCCGATCGTGGATGTGGGAGGGCGGTGAGCGTGAGGCGGGGAGGAGGTGCGGCGTGTGGATGCGGGCGGGTCTGGCAGCGGCGAGCGTGAGGTGGGGAGGAGGCAAGGCGCGCAACGTGTGTGGAGCCGTGAACAGGGCCAACTAACCAGAAGCCGATTAATCGATGATTGAATAAGTTGACAACTTTTTCAATAATCGATTATGTCGATTAGTTGTTGCAGCCCTAAACAAGATCATTAATTATTTGCTCCATTGTTTTTGTAAAACCTTTGACTTAAATTGAAAAACATGGATGTGGGAGATCAGTAGTTAAATGATAAATTGTCAGTGTCGGTAGTCCGTGACATTTCTGGACATTACAGAAATGCTTCCAGGAGAGTATGAAGTACTTTCCTAATATACAGTGTCAAAATATTTCCAGCAGTGCTTACCATCTGTATGCATCAATAAATGTTTGTCGGTACAAGTCCAAAAGCTTTGAGTCGTAAGATAGCTTTTCTAGTTGGGTATTTTATGCATGTAGTTCTGTCAGATAAGTGGCTGTTCCCCTAAAGCCCCCCGTGTTTTACACTGAGAAAGTAAAAAAAAAAAAAAGTACCTCTGTAATATTTAAAAGAGAACTATGGGGTAAGTGTTTTTCCCCATAGTTCTCAAGGGTCACGGGAGGATATATACTAACCTCCTGCCGTGACCCAAAGCTCAGTATATAGCGAGCTACAGCTCGCTGTATACTGAGACCGGCGCACCAGGGACGGATACCGACATTACTGTCGAGATCCGCCCAGCTGCATGAGTGACAGCTGGCTCTGCCTATCTAGAGTCAGAGCCAGCTGTATACGCCCCCTCCCACGTCCGTTCCTCCAGTCAGTGCTGGAGGATCGGAAGGGGGAGGAATCCCGGCTGGGAGCCGTGAGTGACAGTCACAGCTCTCGGCAGGGAGATGATCGAGAACTGAGCGAGCAACGGTATGTGTTCGCTCACTTCCCGAGCTATTGAGCTGACGTGTGACAGTTTCATTGTCACACGTCGGCTTGAACTATGAGGATGTGATTTTCACTCACCTCATAGTTCTCCTCCTTTAATCTCTTTTAGGTAAAAGAAGGCAGTGGTATAGGGTAATGTTGTAGTTCTGAACAAATCTGTGTCAGGAATTCAAATAAGGAAGGAACTGCAGTGCTATCCCGGTTAACATATTAGGGGATTGTGTCCTAAAGGGAATCAAGTCCTCTGCAAGGTAGGACAAAAAGCAATCCATAGTAGTTGATAAAAAGTCCTGCCTGATAGCAGTAGACATGAGAGCGATACAACTTATCTGTTTGTGGTAGAAGAGCTCTCCCCTGGAGGAACTTTAGAAGAAATCTTCCCTGAAGTTTGGATGTCCAGGTATTTGCTTCTGAAGGACGATGGTCTTGGTGGTTTCCTGGATGGAGTCATCCATTGTTCTGTGATCAGTAATCCCAGTAGGGGGAGGCTTAAAGGGCCACTCTGGTAGTAAACTTTGTGGCGACTGGAAGTGCCTAGCAGTTTCCGGGGAGCCCCTAATTTGCAAAGAGAAGCCATCCTGCAGTCAATTAAATGGCATCCCCATTGTACTGAACCCTATAAGTTTTCAGTGCTTTGTATAAAGGCTTTAATGTACAGCAGAGCTGTAGTGTGCACCTGTATCGATCAAGAAGGATCAGCTTACCGTCTAACCGGATGTCATCCGAGGGCCACCCTTATTATGGCTTCTTTGACTGTATAGACATTTTTTCGGCAGAGGATATCTCTTGATTTGCCATGGTCCGGAAAGCAGGGCCCTAGCATATGGTGCACCCAGTTTATCTTTAGGTCAGCTTTCATCTTTGTTGAAAAGTTGATTGAGGATTTAAGCATTGGTGTGATGTCTTTAGATTTTACTGTCTAAGTACACCCAAAATGTTTCTGTTCATCTATTGGGAACATTAGATCTTGCAGTTGTGTAGTTTGGGTATTAAGAAGCTGATGGTGGATCTCCCGTTTGTCTCTGATAACATTCCTGCACGTCTTCTAATCTAGCGCTGAAATGGGTGGCTTTAGTTTTAAGACAATCTCCATTTTGTGGTCCTCCTTTATGCAAGAGATTTTCCTCAAGGTCTGACCCTGTGGGCAGGGATTGGATATAGCTATGGAGATTATCCTCCTCCAATTCAGATTCAGCATTGGCTTAAGTAGAGGGAGTCCGTACAGGGGTATCTCTGAAGGAGAATGTCGAGGTTGTGCTCTGGTGGGTCCCAAGGCAGGGGTGGGAACTCAGCAGCTGGCACCATGTTAGGAGTGCTGGCAGGATGCACTAAGTGCTGAGAAGTTTGAAAAAAAATGGTAGTTGGTTAGATTTTCCCTGATGCACCTTTACTTTGCCCCCCTGCTTTTAAGCCTTGGAAGCGGAAGAAAAGAGCCTGCACTTCCTGATATGAAGGAACAGTCAAATGAAAGGAAAGTATATGCTTCTGGGGACGGGGGCATAATTGTGACTTTTGCACTGCCCTACATGTGCAAAGTACAGGTAAGTGTTAAAGTGTGTGTGCACACACTAACCATGAATTTCTTTTATTTACACCATTTTGATTTGTTAAATATAAAATTGACAGCATAACAAAATATCAAACAGATAGTGTAAAGGCCTCAATACAGAGAGTTCCCAGCAGTATTTATGACTGGACCTGTCTATGTAAATTACCTGTGCAGGAGCTTCCTATAATAGAGCGACAGTGACTGTTCTTTATCTCCTTGTGTAGGGTGACTGGTCTTGTCCCCCCCCTCTTGTAGTTTTCTGCACACAGTCTGTAGTTGGTGGGCCTGCTTTGTCTCACTCGCAGCTCAGCTCTGTGCAGGCTATGTACAGCACAGTGATGATGTCTCTGCTACATTTACAAGGGGGTATTTGGTGCACACAAAGTGGCTTTATATAATTTGTGACTGTTGAGGGATATTTTAAAATAAAACTTTGTGCCCAGAGTTCAGCTTTAAGTAAGTTATCTGCTGGTGCCTGCATATGTTCTAGATTGCACAACTAACTTGTAATATCGCACAAAATATTGTTTTTATTTTTGGCTGCCAAAATATTTTTTCATTTGATCGATTTGACTTTTTTTTTTTTTTTTTTCTTTGAAAGGAAAAAGAGAAGTACACTCGCAGAACTCATGAGGACAAGCAACTTCGAGAGAGAGGGGAGAAAGATGACAGAAGAAATAGTCACAGAGACCAAGCAGGCATCCGAGGTCATCACAACCACTCCAGGCATAGAGATAAAAATCGTGACGAGCAGCATTTAAGAGAACAGAGGGCAGAAAGGGAGTTCCACAATGAGAGGAGGAGGGAAAGACGCCAGAGGGAAGAGCAGACAGAAGAGAGTGAAAATCCAGAGGCTGAAGATGCAAACAGCACGGAGCAGGCTAAAGATAAAGAAAAACCCAACTTTGAACTTTCCGGGACACTACTTGAAGAAACCAATACTTTCAGAGGAGTCGTTATAAAATACAGTGAACCACCAGAATCTCGTGTTCCTAAGAAACGGTGGCGCCTGTACCCATTTAAGAATGATGAAGCTCTTCCAGTCATGTACATTCATCGCCAGAGTGCATACCTCCTGGGAAGGCAGAGGCGTATAGCTGATATACCAATTGATCATCCATCTTGCTCCAAGCAACATGCTGTCCTTCAGTATAGGTGAGGTTCTAGTGCTTTTATAAAGTGTTATTTTAATTTTCCCAAATGTCTTTGTGATACAGGCCTAAGGAAAAGCAGAGCTTCTTGCCTCAGTGCTGTCAAATTCTATATTGTCAGGAAAGCTGTCTGCCACATGTGCTTATTTTATTCCCTTTATCTTGCAGTTTCTCTTTCCCTTGCATCAAGTCTCCTTCCTGGACTATATTCAACTTGAAAATTGTTGAATTTCTTTTATTGCACTGCAAAACTGCTGGGCTACTACCAATTATCTTTTTTTTGACACTTGCTGTCATTTTCTGGTGTCAGTGGATTTAGACCAAGCCAGACAGTTCTTATGCTGTTAGCCCCCTAGTGAAGTAAAACATGTTCTTTAACCTGGATTTGGCACAGGAGAGGTAATAAAGGAGTGTTAAGGCCCCATTTACATTTCCTGTGCGTGTGAATATGCACAAAATCACACTGTTTGCAAAAAATGTGAGTATTACACTTACAGTGCCTTTATTGTTAAAGAAGAGCTCAGGATGCAAATGTTATTAACTCTTGCAATGGGCTACCCCCTGCACTACAAGGGTTAACTAGTTTTTGCCTAGGGTCAATAAAAAAAAAAAAAGTTATAGTTGATCGGAGCCAGAAACGCTCCCTCTAGCCTGTCGTCTTCTCCGTTGCAGCGATGATATGGTCCTTGGTGTCCTCATGTCCTATACACTGTATTGGATGTTATGATTCTTGGATTCCTAGACCGTTGCAGAGGAGGGTAAGAGACTCTCGAGGGTCCAGTCTAAGAGCCGTCTTAGTATAAAACACAGAAGCTCACTGCTTTGCTTTAGAACTTATGAGTCCCAGACCTGGAACAAACATGCAGCAAATAAAAGTCAGAGAACACTGTAGAATTTATTTATACTTGTTCCTTGTTCGTGAATAGGAAGGTATTAAAAGCAAATCATTTGGCCTACCCCAGTTCCAGTAAATGGTTTTTCTATTATCTGCATCAGAATATGTGTACTGGGGAATATATTATTGTAATATATTGCCCCGTACTCCAGTCCAGGCTGCCGCCCAGTTTATGTGCATTCCTATGGTGAGTTATAACACAGCAATGTAGCACACACCTACACACAGGCACTAAGTGATGGATAATATGTGCCAAAACGTTTTGGGTGGGAATTGAACAAAACTGGAGCAGTTACCCAGGGCAACCAATCTGTTTCTCTCTTCAGTTTGTACAGTTAAGATTTGAAAATGAAAGATAGAAGCTGATTGGTTGCCATGCACAGCTGCTCCAGATTTTGTCTGATCCAGTTTTGACAAATTCCCCTCTGTTTTCATCCTTCCAGACACCGCTGCCTCTCCTCTGTGTGCGTTGTCTGTCACTGCCTCCTCTCTTCTGTGAGAAGTATCACTTAGACCACATAAAAAATGTGTCTCCTGAACAGTGTGATTGAACAGAGGTGAGGGGAAGGAGGTGCGCTGTTGACCATCTTAGCTCAGCAATTGCTACATGAGCCAGAATGGGACCAGGTGCATCATATACTGTCTCCTGAAGGATTCATCAATGATTTTGTAGTTTTGGTGACTCCTTTTTATAGGGAAACATGGTTTTTTTTCAAAATGTAGGGTACTTTTTTTGTTATATAGTAAAAAATAAAAACCCCAGTGGTGATTAAATACCACTAAAAAAAAACTCTAGGTGTCCCCAAAAAAATGGTATGAAATTCATTTCAGTACAGTGTTGCATGACGGAATAAACATCAGTCAAAGTATCGCAGCGCTGAATACTGAAAAATGGCCTGGCCAGGAAGGGGGTGAAACACCATGGCCTTTAAGTGGTTAATGATGGCCTGATAGGGCTAGTGCTATTTAATCCAACAAAAGGTAGATTTTTTTTTTTTTTTTTTTTTTTAATGTTGCTGTGTTAAAACATATTTTGTTTCATTGTGCCAAATACTTAAAATAATTAAGTGGTCAGAATGCTGTTGGTACTGCATTAAGTCAGTAAAATAATTTGGTAAGAGTTCATTTTTTTTGTCTTTTTTTTAGAATGGTTGCATTTACTCGTGCTAATGGGACCACTGGGAGACGTGTCAGGCCTTACATCATTGACCTGGGATCTGGAAATGGCACATACTTAAACAACCAGAGAATTGATCCACAACGGTACTACGAGCTGAAAGAAAAAGATGTTCTGAAATTTGGATTCAGCAGCAGAGAGTATGTTGTTTTGCATGAGTTTTCAGATACATCAGAAGTGGACAAACCACAAGATGAGGATGATGAAGAAGAAGAAGAAGATGAGGGTACTGACAACGAACAAGCTGCAAATTAAGATACCTTCACACAAAAACAGTTTAAACCTTTTTTTTTTTTTTTTCATAAGAAGCAGAAAAGTAAACTGTCATGTGTTGACAGCCTGAAAACCTCTAAGAACCTTCTAAAGAATTGGGTTTTAACGTCTCTAAAAGACAATATAGATGTATATGTTTTCATTATAACAAAATGAACTGTTTGCATAGTGTTTTCAGCATTTTGGAAATATGACTTATTTAAAACAAGTTGGACACTTTATTAAACAAAAACATTGTAACCACTGTGGTTATAAGGAAGTGCTTTCAACTTCTTTGTTTGTGGTTATAATGCCAATGCTGCCTGAGTTTTTGTTTTGAGTTCTCATCAATTGTAAAAAAAAAAATTCCACTACTAGTATCTTGGGGCAGAGCTGTTTATCTTCAGTGTAAAGGCTCCCAACATCGGATAGGAAAGTGCGCAAACAAGGGTTCATGCTAAGATGAAGGAAGCCTTCAGGTTATAATTGCATTCAGCACCAGGCTTCCTGCACTGACAGCTAGCAGTACTGGATGTCAGATTCTATAAAGTAATGGATTCTAAATCAGTTACATGAGTCTGCATTAAATGTACACCATTCTTTACATCATATACTCAGTGTCTTTACTGTAAGGTAAGTCTTAGGGGACCTGTCGCATGTTATTAATAGTACAGTCCAGTCAGGTTTAAAGGTAAATCTTGTGATGCATACAAGAAACATAGCCTACCTACCTACTACTACATTTGTCCAAACCATCACTTAGATTCAAGTCCATGTTAAGAGCTTGAATAGGATTGGGGGATAAAGGAAGCTGAAAATTAGAGATTTTTTTCCCACTATGATTCAATATAATTTTTTCCTGCATTCTTGGCCAGGCCCTGTGCATTGCCACTCCACAGTCCAATAGGACTGTGTCACTGGCCTTCTGGGTGGCAGTTGGTGGAGCATAGCCAAAGTCAGGGGAAGTCAGTAACAAAGTGCAATCCAAGAGAAGTACTGAAGAGAATTTACTGGCTAGTAAAGGCAATAGCATGCATCTTACATCTTCTCATTTTAGGCTGGACTTCCCACTTTAAATGGAGAACAGGTTCTGTTTCAAGAACATCTCCATGCAACATTTGAAAGCAACCAGTCAAGCTATTAATTGCTATTCAACAAACAGACATGTTACTCAATTTTCTGAGACAACGGTTATCCTATGCAACCAGACGTCATGAAGCTCATTTAGGGTATACATTTTAAAAAGTGTGCTTTAAAGTGTAAGGAAACTTTGGTTTGAGTTTGCCCCCACCGCCCTGAGCTTAATTTATGAGCTCAGTTTGAGTTCAGGAGGTTGGGGGCTCCATAGTTCACTAGTTCTGGTATAGAATCCAGCTGTGCCCCACCACAATGTTTACCTCCAGCCAGCTGTGCCTTTTCCTCCCACTGCCTGCACATCTTCTGAGGCTAGTTGGAAGAAGCCGTCTGACCAGTGTTAAACATAACAGTGTGACACAGCTTGACTTATTGTCAGAAATAGGATGGTATACTGCTGAGTGGAAAAGTGGTTCAGATGAGCTCAGTGGGGGTCATAGTTAGGGAAACTACCTTTTTCGTTCCTCACCCTTGAATTTTGTCTAATAAAATGCAATGTGTGCATTATTTCCTCTTAGGCAGGATGTTTATTGTTGTACAGCTTCACGTTAAAGCACCAGTCATAGCAGGGCACAATGCAACAATCTGGATATTTAATCTTAGTGACACTATACTTAGGAGGTAAATCTTAACTATTAAGAATACTGTATCTTGTGTATCACTCAGCTGCAGATCCTCAAATCACCGAATTGGTGCTGACACTGTCCTTCCTTCTGGAAGGTGGATACTTTTGTTCCCCATGGTCCCTGTGTGCGTGTTGTAAAAGTAGCCACCACTCCAAGCTCACTACCGTGATGGACTACAATCTCACATTTTAGTTTACCGATTTGTATTAAGATTGTAGTCCATCACTGGAGCGAGCTTGGAGCGGTGGCTACTTTACAACACGCAAAGGGACCATGGGGAACAAAAGTAGCCACCCTCCAGAAGGAAGGATAGTGTCAGCACCAATTCAGAGATGATTTGAGGTTCTACAGCTGGTTCTACAGAGTGATGCACAAATAAGATACATTTGTGTTGATAGTTAAGGTACTTGAATGTATTTTTAGGATTTAACTCCTGAGTTTAGTGTCGCTTTAAAATATTGTATAGCCTGTAAAGATTCATATTTTCGCTCCTTTGCTTCGCTTTACTTCTATTATGAGAGCTGCCCTTACGGGTCAAAGGTTACAGGAAATCTGTTTCTGTTTAAATTTTAACCACTATTCATGAGAGACCATTTTAAAATACTTGATAAACGCTTGCAATGCAAATCTAAACTAAATTCCTTGTATGCAAACACTTATGCTGAAGTATCCTCAACCTTTACATAGCTTTACAATTTGCTTGACACCAGTGACCTTAATAAAGCTTTACCTTTTTAGACTACGGTAGGGATCTGTTCTAATAAATGATCATTACCATCAGTATGGATGCTTTAACTATTAGTGGCAGGTCTAATTTTTCAGATAACACACAATGTTGAATGATACACCCCTTTCTGTCCTGGCAGAGTTGGGACCATCAACCAGGTTGCAAACAAGTTGCCAATACACACACTTTTCCTATTAGAAAACCCTGCATGCTTTGCAAACTGTAAATAATGTACTTTGGTTTTAAAGTGCCTCTAAACTCAGGAGTTAAACCTTAAAAATGCATTCTAGTACTTTCACTATTAACAAACATGTATCTTATTCGTGTGCCACTCAGATGTATATCCTCAAATCATCTCTGAATTGGTGCTGACACTGTCCTTCCTTCTAGAGGGTGGCTACTTTTGTTCCCCATGGTCCGTGTGTGTTGTGAAGTTCCCACCGCTCCAAGTTGGCTCACCAGGATGGATTACAATCTCAGGTTTAGTTTACTAATTTGTATTGAGATTGTAGTCCATCACAAGAGTGAATTTGGAGCGGTGGCTACTTTACAACACACATGGGCCATGGGGAACAAAAGTAGTCAGCACCAATTCAGAGGTGATTTGAGGATGTACAGCCGAGTGATACACAAATAAGATACATTGTTGTTAAATCTTAAGGTACCTGCATGTATTTTTAACTATTAAGGGCTTGTTCACACCAAATGCAGATCAGATCTGCATGAGTTTCTGCACACGCAGTGCAGAGGGTTGTGCCGCGTTTTTGATGTGTTCTGGGCCGTTTTTGTTTAACAAAAAAAAGTTTTTAAAAGTTTAGAATGGGCTTTTAGTGCCTTCCAGGGCGTTTGCATGTGTTCCAGAGCAGGTAAAATAGCTTGCTTGCTGCATTTTGTTTTATATGCTCTGAAACTGAACGCTGCGGTGTGAACTAGAGGCCAAAATACCATTGGAATACATAGGACGCAGTTTTGATCCGTTCTGTAACTGCTCTGCTCCTGGAACGCGCTTAGTGTGAACAAGACCTTACTCCTGAGTTTAGAGGCAGTTTAAAAGTCCAAACCCTGTCAAAGCTGCCGACAAGCCCCTTCATGTATATTCTTAGGATAGCGTTTGAAGCCATCAGGCAGCACTGAACACAGACCAGTGTATGATTAGAGTATAGATAATAATTTTAGGTTAAAATGTGTACATAGTCTCTTATTGTAATCTATTTCTCTTCAACGCAGGTGTTGCATCATACTGAGAAAATATACTATGTGTTTCTGTCATCACTTGATCTTGTCGACCCTGCAAATTTGTATGGAATGTTTTGCGTATTTGTAAATATCTGGTATACAAGAAACATAGTTCCAACATTTAAATTTTGCCCCAATTGACCCTTTCTACAGTGTGGGGAACCTTACCTGTTATATTTGTCTTTTAAATGTCTGCCCTTTGACCAAAACGGGAGGCATTCTGAATATATGTCTACAGAACATTCTTTTCCCCCTCATTATGGGTATAATAAGGCATTATTGGCTTGCTTGGTCAACTTAAATGTGCTGTGGCAAAATCTTTTTCCTGCCAGATCTTCAGGGTTTCATTTTTTGTTTTACCAGAATATCATACAAGCACATTATTTTTATACATATAAATATATATATATTTTTAATAGTGGTGTATATC